TATTGCTGTGGGTCTGTTATACACTCAGACACATTACTGGGAGTATTATTGCTGTGGGTCTCTGTTATACACTCAGACACATTACTGGGAGTATTATTGCTGTGGAGCTCTGTTATACACTCAGACACATTACTGGGAGTATTATTGCTGTGGAGCTCTGTTATACACTCAGTCACATTGCTGGGAGTATTATTGCTGTGGAGCTCTGTTATACACTCAGACACATTACTGGGAGTATTATTGCTGTGGAGCTCTGTTATACACTCAGACACATTACTGGGAGTAGTATTGCTGTGGAGCTCTGTTATACACTCAGACACATTACTGGGAGTATTATTGCTGTGGAGCTCCGTTATACACTCAGACACATTACTGGGAGTATTATTGCAGTGGAGCTCTGTTATACCCTCAGACACATTACTGGGAGTATTATTGCTGTGGAGCTCTGTTATACACTCAGACACATTACTGGGAGTATTATTGCTGTGGAGCTCTGTTATACACTCAGACACATTACTGGGAGTATTATTGCTGTGGAGCTCTGTTATACACTCAGACACACCAACAATATGGAGCTCCTAGGAAAGAGGGAGATTAGGAGAGAAGAAAGAGACAGAGAGAATTGGGGTCAAAATAGGGACTATCGCTCCTAAATCGTGACACTTGGGAAGTATGATATTGTATCACAATTGGCTAGAATCCATGACTAGGTTAATACTGAAACCCGGGTATGTGCTCCTACATATCTACAACCATTAGGCGCAATGACTAAATTCTTGTAGCGCCCCCTATTGATAAGAAAATGTCCTGAACATTCTAATCTTAAAGAAACAGTGCTGTATTTCTGCTGTCCAATTGTTAAAGACACAAACCATGGGAACGCACACTAACTGACCCGTAGAAAGGGTCTGAGTACTTTATGAGCCATAAAATATTATCTTTCTAATAATGATGACAGCCGATGGATGTATTCAGAGAAATCCCTCAGAACAAACAATGTGTTATTCTTGGGGAGCAGAAAGGGTCTAATAATAAATGTGTACTATGTCAGGCATACATTTTACTTTATGAACAACACTCAGTGAAATAAACAGGGGGTGTTGCAGGTGTCAGACGAGGCAGAAGATGAGATTTGGGGTAATTACACTGAAACCAACGCCGGTTGCACTGAGCAGAGACAGCTGTAGGAGGCACTCGTCACATTACTATTTGTTCCTCGTCATTATCACTGATTTCTCGCAGTCAGTGTTGTGTGTTTTTTTTTTGTTGTTGTCATTATTAAATCATGATTCATGAAAACGGTAATTTCATAAAACCCACGAAAAACCCAGGAGCAGATCCAGACCCGGCGTGCTCTGAGTGACTATAAGTACAGCAGAGAGGCGCAGTGTCGAACATCATCCCGGCAGGACTGCACTTAGGTGAGTGCAACGCTATTCATATGTAGATCAAAGCTTAATTACTAAACAGCCAATTGTAAGAAATGATAAAAACAAACTGGCAAATTTATACAAAAAGTAGGGATTTTGAAAAAAAAAAGGCATTTTTAACTCTGCTATAGTTTAAAGCTTGGCTGTTTAACTAATAAGCTCCATAATTATAGAACGCAATGGATTGATTTAGATGTTACTGCTAGTTTGTAACACAGCACATACAGCATTCTGATTAACTGCTAAACGCTTTCTCTTCAGGAAACAAATATTTATAAACAGTAACATGGATTATATGTACAGAAGGTATACTTTGATTATTTAAAAGCTGAAGATATTATGTATTTATAAAGTACTTTTTATTATAGAAGAATGCAGTCACTATATTAAACACATTATTTAAATTCTGTAGGCTTAAATTAGAAGATAAAGGGGCCTTTTAATGAGTTATAAATAATTTCTAAATTTTTGGGGGGAATACAAACATTATTAATCTTTGTTTTCACATATTAAATATATTATATACATAACTACATATAGAGTATATAATGGACAACACATTAAAAAATATACGAAGGATAAAGTGTTTATAAAAAAAACACAAATAAGAGAGTTTATAATATATTGAGTAAACTATTTATAATATATAACAGATAAAGCGTTTATAATATATATTGAGAAAACCATTTATAATATATAACAAATACATTGCTTATAATATGTAATGGATACAGGATTTACAATAAATAACGAATAAGAGAGTTTATAATATATAACAGATAATAAATAGTGGATACAAGATTTATAATATATAACGAATGAGAGTTTACAATATATAACAGATAAAGTGTTTATAATAAATAGTGGATACAAGATTTATAATATATAATGAATGAGAGTTTACAATATATAACGAATAAATCGTTTATAATATGTAATGGATACAGGTTTATAATAAATAACGAATAAGAGAGTTTACAATATAAAACAGATAAATTGTTTATAATATGTAATGAATACATTGTTAACACATGAATATATATTTCCAGGACTGATTAAAGAAAAGTCCCAGGTTTAATGTAATTGGACGATAAGAATGAAATGACTCCGCAAACAGAACTTGTGTATTTCAGTAACCGTATTCATAGCTTGTAAATTGCTTAATTAAGGTTTAACCATTTCGCTTACAGCGAACGGAAGCTCTAATTACACGAATTATTCTATCTGTTCGTTGTACAATATGAATCCAGAAGGAGAGCTGAATTAACGTTAAACAAAAACATATCTTTAAAAACCCCACAATATGTTATTCTGTACAGGGTGAGACAGGGAGAGTTTTTGTTTAGAACTACCTAATATTAAGCATTTTCCTTTTGGCAGAGTATGTACTACAGTGAGAATCTCCCATATAAGGCTAGTTTGGCTATTCTCACTTTGACTTCTCAGTTTAGTGAGTGGCCCTGTAAACATGTTGGGTTTTATATTAAAACGATAGCATTTAAGCAAGTGATGATTTAACCCTTTGTGCCCATATTATCATTTCAAAGAAGAGCCAGTTCAAGGGACTTGGGAAAAAGTTTCAACAAATTAGACTATTTTCAACTCATTCATTTTAGCCTAAATTTGACCATATAGTTCTTAAGACACCACACATTACTGTTTAGTAAATACAAACAGAGTGTTCAGGAATGTATTGCAAAAACCCTGGAACAGAATGCCGAGTGTGCTCTCTATCACAGAATGCTGAGTGTGCTCTCTATCACAGAATGCTGAGTGCGTTCTATCACAGAATGCTTAATGCTCTCTATCACAGAATGCTGAGTGCTCTCTATCACAGAATTCTGATTGCTCTCAATCACAGAATGCTGAGTGCTCTCTATCACAGAATGCTGAGTGCTCTATCACAGAATGCTGAGTGCTCTCTATCACAGAATGCTAAGTGCTCTCTATCACAGAATGCTGAGTGCGCTCTATTACAGAATGCTGAGTGCTCTCTATCACAGAATGCTTAATGCTCTCTATCACAGAATGCTGAGTGCTCTCTCTATCACAGAATGCTGAGTGTGCTCTATCACAGAATGCTGAATGCGTTCTATCACAGAATGCTGAGTGCTCTCTATCACAAAATGCTGAGTGCGCTCTATCACAGAATGCTGAATGCGTTCTATCACAGAACGCTGAGTGCGCTCTATCACAGAATGCTGAGTGCGCTCTATCACAGAATGTGGAGTGCTCTCAATCACAGAATGCTGAGTGCGCTCTATCACAGAATGTGGAGTGCTCTCAATCACAGAATGCTGAGTGTGTTCTATCACAGAATGCTGAGTGCTCTCTATCACAAAATGCTGAGTGCGCTCTATCACATAATGCTGAGTGCTCTCTCTATCATAGAATGCTGAGTGCGCTCTGTCACAGAATGCTGAGTGCGCTCTATATTACAGAATGCTTAGTGTGCTCTCTATTACAGAATGCTGTGTGCGCTCTGTCACAGAATGCTGAGTGCGCTCTGTCACAGAATGCTGTGTGCGCTCTGTCACAGAATGCTGAGTGCGCTCTATCAGAGAATGCTGTGTGCGCTCTGTCACAGAATGCTGAGTGCGCTCTGTCACAGAATGCTGAGTGCGCTCTATATTACAGAATGCTTAGTGTGCTCTCTATTACAGAATGCTGTGTGCGCTCTGTCACAGAATGCTGAGTGCGCTCTGTCACAGAATGCTGGGTGCGCTCTGTCACAGAATGCTGAGTGCGCTCTATATTACAGAATGCTTAGTGTGCTCTCTATTACAGAATGCTGTGTGCGCTCTGTCACAGAATGCTGAGTGCGCTCTGTCACAGAATGCTGAGTGCGCTCTGTCACAGAATGCTGAGTGCGCTCTATCACAGAATGCTGAGTGCGCTCTATCACAGAATGCTGAGTGCGCTCTATCACAGAATGCTGAGTGCTCTATCACAGAATGCTGAGTGCGCTCTATCACAGAATGCTGAATGCGCTCTATCATAGAATACTGTGTGCTCTCTATATTACAGAATGCTTAGTGTGCTCTCTATTACATAATGCTGAGTGCTCTCTCTATCACAGAATGCTGTGTGCGCCCTGTCACAGAATACTGTGTGCGCCCTGTCACAGAATGCTGAGTGCGCTCTATCATAGAATACTGTGTGCTCTCTATATTACAGAATGCTGTGTGCTCTCTATCACAGAATGCTGTGTGCGCCCTGTCACAGAATGCTGAGTGCGCTCTATCATAGAATGCTGTGTGCGCTCTGTCACAGAATGCTGTGTGCGCCCTGTCACAGAATGCTGAGTGCGCTCTATTACAGAATGCTGTGTGTGCTCTATCACAGAATGCTGAATGCGCTCTATCACAGAATGCTGTGTGCTCTCTATTACAGAATGCTGAATGCGCTCTATCACAGAATGCTGTGTGCGCTCTATCACAGAATGCTGTGTGCGCTCTATCACAGAATGCTGAATGCGCTCTATCACAGAATGCGCTCTATCTGAATGCGCTCTATCATAGAATGCTGTGTGCTCTCTATTACAGAATGCTGAATGCGCTCTATATTACAGAATGCTTAGTGTGCTCTCTATTACAGAATGCTGTGTGCGCTCTGTCACAGAATGCTGTGTGCGCTCTATCACAGAATGCTGAATGCGCTCTATCACAGAATGCTGAATGCGCTCTATCATAGAATGCTGTGTGCGCTCTATCACAGAATGCTGAATGCGCTCTATCACAGAATGCTGAATGCGCTCTATCATAGAATGCTGTGTGCTCTCTATATGATAGAATGTTGTTTGCATCACAGAATTCTCTTCTATAAAACAGAGGGGATTGGGGTAAAAACAGAGGGTATACATTAGAACAATAATATTTATAATATTTATATTTCCCCTTTTTCCATGAATTTAGGACATGACGAAGATTTTGCTTGTTGTATGCATCACGTTGGCCATTTACCAAGATGACTGCTTTGGGAAATTATTTGATCGAAACCAAGAATTTGTGGGAGTTACAGGTAACATTGCAGAGAGTTCCTTTTTGTATAATTATGTTTATTTATATGTAAATTTAACAATTCTATAGATGGAGGAGGTTTTTAAGAGGACAGAAAAGCACAGCTGCAGTGAGTGTTTAATAAAGATTTTTTATAGCATTTTTTAATGCATTATCGCCATACTATACTGTTTGCTCTTCATTGTGCAACACAGGGCTCCTAGCACTTGGCAATATTTGTCGTTGTCTGCTCCAGATTGGATGGTGTTACCTTCCTGGGTGTTTTTTTGCTGTTTCAAGCTTCCACCATTGATTCAGTCACTCAATTATTGTGGAAGAGAAGCTATGTAGACAGAGAGAGAGTACAATTCTGTATCCCCAGCCTATCCCCAGCACAATCCTGTCTCCCCAGCCCATCCCCAGCACAATTGTGTCTCCACAGCCTATCCCCAGCACAATCCTGTCTCCCCAGCCCATCCCCAGCACAATCCTGTCTCCACAGCCTATCCCCAGCACAATACTGTCTCCCCAGCCTATCCCCAGCACAATTGTGTCTCTACAGCCTATCCCCAGCACAATCCTGTCTCCCCAGCCCATCCCCATCACAATCCTGTCTCCACAGCCCATCCCCAGCACAATTCTGTCTCCCCAGCTCCTCCCAAGTACACTCCTGTCTTCCCAGCACAATTCTGTCTCCCCAGCCCATCCCCAGCACAATCCTTTCTCCCCAGCACAATTCTGTCTCCCAAGCCCAATCTTGTCTCCCCAGCCCATCCCCAGCACAATCCTGTCTCCCAAGCTCCTCCCCAGCACAATCCTGTCTCCCCAGCTCCTCCCCAGAACAATTATGTCTCCCCAGCCCATCCCCAGCACAATCCTGTCTCCCCAGCTCCTCCCAAGTACAATCCTGTCTCCCCAGCTCCTCCCAAGTACAATCCTGTCTCCCCAGCTCCTCCCCAGCACAATTCTGTCTCCCCAGCTCCTCCCCAGCATAATTCTGTGCCCCAGCACAATCCTGTCCCCCCACTCCTCCCAAGTACAATCCTGTCTCCCCAGCTCCTCCCCAGCACAATCCTGTCTCACCAGCTCCTCCCACAGTACAGTTTTATTTCCCCAGCTCAATTCTGTCTCCCCAGCACAATCCTGTCCCCCCACTCCTCCCAAGTACAATCCTGTCTCCCCATCTCCTCCCCAGCACAATCCTGTCTCCACAGCTCCCCCATGTACAATCCTGTCTCCCCCAGCACAATTCTGTCTCCCCAGCCCAATCCTGTCTTCCCAGCCCATCCCCAGCACAATTCTATCTCCCCAGCCCATCCCCAGCACAATCCTGTCTCCCCAGCTCCTCTCCTGCGCAATTCTGTCTCCCCACCCAGCCGATCCCCAACACAATCCTGTCTCCCCAGCCGATCCCCAGCACAATCCTGTCTCCCCAGCTCCTCCCAAGTACAATCCTGTCTTCCCATCTCCTCCCACAGCACAGTTTTGTTTCTCCAGCTCAATTCTGTCTCCCCTGCCAATCCCAAGTACAATTCTATCTCCCCAGCCCATCCCCAGCACAATCCTGTCTCCCCAGCTCCTCTCCTGCGCAATTCTGTCTCCCCACCCAGCCGATCCCCAACACAATCCTGTCTCCCCAGCCGATCCCCAGCACAATCCTGTCTCCCCAGCTCCTCCCAAGTACAATCCTGTCTTCCCATCTCCTCCCACAGCACAGTTTTGTTTCTCCAGCTCAATTCTGTCTCCCCTGCCAATCCCAAGTACAATTCTGTCTCCCCAGCACAATTCTGTCTCCCCAGCTCATCCCAAGTACAATTCTGTATCCATTTTCCTGGGGTCCAGTTTGGATCCTGTAACTGCTGGAGGGACAAGTTAGGCGGTGATGGAGCTCTGACCTCCCTGCTCAGCTCCCTTGTGTGCCTCTCAGTGATGCCAGGGCCGGAGTAACATCATCTTCTGACTATGGCATCACTGCTATTGCCTCCCCCCTGAAAAGTGCTGCCTAAGGCAAATGTTTTGTCAGCCTCGATGTAAATACACCACTGGCCATCAGGGTAAAGTTCTGACCAATTGGTCACAAGGTTGTAGCCAAAACAGTTCCAGGGAGAAAAAGGCTGTGGCCAGTCAACTTTTCGCGAGTTCCTGTATGAATAAAACTGAATGCTCCCCTTCGCTCTTAGTTAGCGAATGCTCCCCTCAGATAAATTAATATTTTCCCCGAAGAGCACTCTCCTGGCTTTCTGTGAGAGGACCAGGCGGCGGTACAAATTCACCGGTGTTTGCAAGTTGAGTAGCCAAAATCAGTTCCACTGCCTGTGTTTGGCAGACAAAATGTCCGTCATTCGGTAAAGCACATGTGTTCGGTCATTTGAATGGTGGTCAGCCAGAGAGAGCACTCAAGTTAACGACTTCTTTTGAAGTTAATGAGCCAGGGGCTGGTCTGGATTCTGGGGGTAAAAGAGGGAAATACAATTCTCAATTCGGGTACAGAAAAGCAAACAGAGAGGGGACCAAATCAGTTGGGCTGGAGGAGAATAAAACAAGTGACGGGTGTTCTGTTAAAACTCTAAATAAACTGCAGATTGAAATACAATTCCCATGATGGTAAGTCAGCATATAAGAAATAAGGAGTGCTATGCCTTTAAATAAATTACATACACTATATGGAGACACCTATTAATTATTGAATTCAGGTGTTTCAATCAGACCGATTGCAAAAGGTGTATAAAATCTAGCATGTAGCGGAATGGAATTTTGCAAGCTACTTTTTATTCCCTATATTGGCTGTCCGTATTCCCCCCCTCCCCCGCCCCGTTACTTTGTGTGTTTTTCCTCGGTTATTTTGTGTGGTTCCTTTTTGGTCATTCGGGAGACTTTAGACGAATGGAATTCATTCGTCTCCCGAATGGGGACCACCCCTGTGCCTCATTAGAAGGTTAACACCAGCCACTTAATTGCGAAACCACGAGGGAAACAATTAATGAGTGCTTCTCCTGGGTGGCCGCCATTTCATATAACCGAATACGTGGCTGAGAGAATGGCGGCCATCTTGTCTCCCGAACAAGGGCAGCAGTACTTAGTCGTCGAGTGCCTGGAACTATTTTCGCCTAGGCACTCACACGAGCGGTAAACTGTCGACCACTGCCCGTACCTGTTCCCGACCACCTACACGAACGGCATTTGGGAGATATAAACTACCAAACATGGAAAGCATTCGGAAACTGAAAGCTAGAGATTCCCTTGTATGATTTTCGCACGGGAGCCCCACAAATGGAGACCAGCCAGTAAACACATTTCCCTGGAAATATTTTGGGTTAGCATCTCGTGTCTGGCCGGTCAAAATTTCCACATGGTGGCATTCCCATTCTACCAAACCGATCTGAGTGATTCTTGGATATGTTGGTCACTCAGATCAGGGCTATCAGGGAATGTGCTTTTTGTGGGGTTTCCAGGTAAGATTGTGGGGCTTTGGGGTACATTATACAGGGAGTGCAGAATTATTAGGCAAATGAGTATTTTGACCACATCATCCTCTTTATGCATGTTGTCTTACTCCAAGCTGTATAGGCTCGAAAGCCTACTACCAATTAAGCATATTAGGTGATGTGCATTTCTGTAATGAGAAGGGGTGTGGTCTAATGACATCAACACCCTATATCAGGTGTGCATAATTATTAGGCAACTTCCTTTCCTTTGGCAAAATGGGTCAAAAGAAGGACTTGACAGGCTCAGAAAAGTCAAAAATAGTGAGATATCTTGCAGAGGGATGCAGCACTCTTAAAATTGCAAAGCTTCTGAAGCGTGATCATCGAACAATCAAGCGTTTCATTCAAAATAGTCAACAGGGTCGCAAGAAGCGTGTGGAAAAACCAAGGCGCAAAATAACTGCCCATGAACTGAGAAAAGTCAAGCGTGCAGCTGCCACGATGCCACTTGCCACCAGTTTGGCCATATTTCAGAGCTGCAACATCACTGAGTGCCCAAAAGCACAAGGTGTGCAATACTCAGAGACATGGCCAAGGTAAGAAAGGCTGAAAGACGACCACCACTGAACAAGACACACAAGCTGAAACGTCAAGACTGGGCCAAGAAATATCTCAAGACTGATTTTTCTAAGGTTTTATGGACTGATGAAATGAGAGTAAGTCTTGATGGGCCAAATGGATGGGCCCGTGGCTGGATTGGTAAAGGGCAGAGAGCTCCAGTCCGACTCAGACGCCAGCAAGGTGGAGGTGGAGTACTGGTTTGGGCAGGTATCATCAAAGATGAGCTTGTGGGGCCTTTTCGGGTTGAGGATGGAGTCAAGCTCAACTCCCAGTCCTACTGCCAGTTCCTGGAAGACACCTTCTTCAAGCAGTGGTACAGGAAGAAGTCTGCATCCTTCAAGAAAACATGATTTTCATGCAGGACAATGCTCCATCACACGCGTCCAAGTACTCCACAGCGTGGGTGGCAAGAAAGGGTATAAAAGAAGAAAATCTAATGACATGGCCTCCTTGTTCACCTGATCTGAACCCCATTGAGAACCTGTGGTCCATCATCAAATGTGAGATTTACAAGGAGGGAAAACAGTACACCTCTCTGAACAGTGTCTGGGAGGCTGTGGTTGCTGCTGCACGCAATGTTGATGGTGAACAGATCAAAACACTGACAGAATCCATGGATGGCAGGCTTTTGAGTGTCTTTGCAAAGAAAGGTGGCTATATTGGTCACTGATTTGTTTTTGTTTTGTTTTTGAATGTCAGAAATGTATATTTGTGAATGTTGAGATGTTATATTGGTTTCACTGGTAATAATAAATAATTGAAATGGGTATATATTTGTTTTTTGTTAAGTTGCCTAATAATTATGCACAGTAATAGTCACCTGCACACACAGATATCCCCCTAACATAGCTATAACTAAAAACAAACTAAAAACTACTTCCAAAAATATTCAGCTTTGATATTAATGAGTTTTTTGGGTTCATTGAGAACATGGTTGTTGTTCAATAATTAAATTAATCCTCAAAAATACAACTTGCCTAATAATTCTGCACTCCCTGTATTATGTGGATTTTTTGTGCCTGAGAGATAATTAAATTAGATGAGTTTACTCAGGCAATTGTCACTCAGGCACTGAGGATCTTGGGAATGAATAACATGCATTTTCTGCCTGTGAAACCCCTTGCATGGGACTGGGCATAAAAGCCGTGTATGTGTCAATAAAATTCAGTTGTATCTCCAGAGCTGAGTGTCGTCCAGTTGCTGGGAAGTTGGTGGGAGATCCTTGGATTGTTTTACTTGTTCCTGAGTGTATTTTGCAGTAACAAGCGGAGAAGAGCCCCTGCTTGGACTAGGGCTCTGCTACAAAGCACTTAGCCATGCAGTCTGCATTTACAAACATTTATTTAAAAAATGGGTCATTCTACATAGAGACAAGCGTGGTGGTACTACCACAACAAGAGGACATAGTCTTAAATTAGAGTGGCAAATGTTTAAAAATAATATCAGGAAGTATTACTTTACTGAGAAGGTAGTAGATGCATGGAATAGCCTTCCAGCTGAAGAAATACTGTAGGTCAATGTAATTTTTTGGTTAAAGTCAGGAATTTTCTTAAAATACTGCAGTTACAAGGCATAGTCAGACTTAAGTAAAGCCTAAAAGTTTTTGGTTAAAAAAAAAAGTAATTTTAATGCTCTATAGAAATGTCCTAAATTATTAATGAAACAATCAGTTCTTAAACACTTATTATTACATATCACCTCCAGATGCTGGTTACCCTGACACTGAAACGTTGGTTAAAAGAAACTCATATCAGGTCCTCCGAAATGCTGACCGCAACACCATAAACTGGCCTGAACGCCCCAGCAACTGTTACCTTGTCCATGAGGGCCAGATGGAGAGCCAGATCTCCTGCAGGCTTCGTTTCACCAGGAGCAAGTTTAACTTTAACCCCTTTGGACTACGCTTTGGAAAGCGAGGGAGCGACAGGGTCGACCCCAATCCTGCTCTGCAAAGTGCGACCAGCAAATTTCTTCCTTTCCTGTTAAAACTCAAAGAGTGGCCTGTGTTCCCGTGCAGAGACGAGCCCGGGGAGAACTGCTAGATGTCCTTTTGTATTTTATTCTAACCTTTTTTAATAACTCACATTGTTTCCACTCCGTGTTACGGTTTGATCCGTGCATTGCGACCTTGTAACCAGTATACAGCCAGAATCTAAACGCAATACAGCTACGTCTCTTGTTTTCATGTAATTTTGTAAAATGCTAGAGTTTCCAAGAGTACACTTACCCTTAATTACTGGAAATTTCATTTCCCCATTGTGGATTGATTTGCGTGTGTTTTTGATAAATAAGTTGCTTTCTCTCCTGTTTCTAAATCCAAGTACAATAAAAATCTGTTTCCCTTGTTGCAATGTGTGTGGGCAGCATTTGTCTTTGAAACAAAGATCCCTTTGTATTTACGTTCTCTATGTATAAAAAGCTATCTATCCTGCGGCAGGAGTGTGCACCTGAGCTGGCTCGCATTGTGCCGTTTATCGTCCTGTGCCCCACTTACAGATCTCATCTGTTGCTCTGATTTCTGAAGCTTATCTCTTTATTCACAATGTCAGAATTACAATGGATGCTATGTATAAAAACACCCGTGTTGCTGTTTATGCCACTTTTTTTTTGCGTTTCTGATTTGCGCCTGTTTATTGCTTGTTTTGCATCATCATTTTCCCCTTTTCTGACACTTTTTTTTCCCTGTTCAATTTTTTGTTTTTTCTTTGCTTCTCCGATGAGTCGCTCTGTACTGTATAAAGAGGAACAAATGTACATTTTCTTCCACAAATGTTTCTGCCGCTGTGGGTAGTAAGGTGGTTTTATGTGACAGGTAAGTAGATCACACCTTACTGTTTAATGTCTAGCACAAATTGTGAACACCCCACTTTCTTCTTATTAGCAACTCATGCGTCTTATTCTGTGACTATAATCTATGGTAAAACCATCAGAAGAAAAATGCAAAAGAAGAATAAAATGTGTGGGGAAAATTGATTATTTCCACACTAAAGAAAAACCACAAAAAAAGGCACAAACTTATAAAGGGTGTAGTAACGGTTTATGTATAAGAAAATTGTGTATGTTCACAAACCCAGTGCAAATGTGTGAGCAAAGTCAGCACTTTTTATCCATCGCCCCAGGTATTCTCCCACGCCCCATCCAAATATTAAACACCTATTGAGACTAAGGAGATTTGTTAGATATTGGAAAAACCCAGAGGTTCTCATTCATTTTATATTTAGTATCTCTTCACTTAGTCCAGCCAGATGATTTTACAAACCTGGAAACTGTACAAGTGTATCCTCCCCCGAGGTTCTCATTCATTTTACATTTAGTATCTCTTCACTTAGTCCATTTTACAAACCTGGAAACTGTGCAAGTGGATCCTCTCCCGAGGTTCTCATTCATTTTACACTTAGTAGCTCTTCACTTAGTCCAGCCAGCTGATTTTACAAACCTAGAAACTGTTAAAGTGGATCCTCCCCCGAAGTTCTCATTCATTTTACATTTAGTATCTCTTCACTTAGTCCATTTTACAAACCTAGAAACTGTTAAAGTGGATCCTAGGTTCTCATTAATTTTACAGTATTCTTCACTTAGTCCAGCCAGCTGATTTTAAACCTAGAAACTGTTAAAGTGGATCCTCCCCCGAGTTCTCATTAATTTTACATTTAGTATCTCTTCTCCAGCCAGCTGATTTCAAACCAGAAACTAATCCTAGGTTCTCATTTTACATTTAGTATCTCTTCACTTAGTCCAGCCAGCTGATTTTACAAACCTAGAAACTGTTAAAGTGGATCCTCCCCCGAGTTCTCATTAATTTTACATTTAGTATCTCTTCACTTAGTCCAGCCAGCTGATTTTACAAACCTAGAAACTGTTAAAGTGGATCCTCCCCCGAGGTTCTCATTCATTTTACACTTAGTAGCTCTTCACTTAGTCCAGCCAGCTGATTTTACAAACCTAGAAACTGTTAAAGTGGATCCTCCCCCGAGGTTCTCATTCATTTTACATTTAGTATCTCTTCACTTAGTCCAGCCAGCTGATTTCACAAACCTAGAAACTGTTAAAGTGGATCCTCCCCCAAGGTTCTCATTAATTTTACATTTGGTATCTCTTCACTTAGTCCAGCCAGCTGATTTTACAAACCAAGAAACTGTTAAAGTGGATCCTCCCCCGAGGTTCTCATTAATTTTACATTTAGTATCTCTTCACTTAGTCCAGCCAGCTGATTTTACAAACCTAGAAACTGTTAAAGTGGATCCTCCCCCGAGGTTCTCATTAATTTTACATTTAGTATCTCTTCACTTAGTCCAGCCAGCTGATTTCACAAACCTAGAAACTGTTAAAGTGGATCCTCCCCCGAAGTTCTCATTAATTTTACATTTAGTATCTCTTCAATTAGTCCAGCCAGCTGATTTCACAAACCTAGAAACTGTTAAAGTGGATCCTCCGCCGAAGTTCTCATTAATTTTACATTTAGTATTTCTTCACTTTGTCCAGCCAGCTGATTTCACAAACCTGGAAACTGTACAAATGGATCCTCCCCCAAGGTTCTCATTCATTTTACATTTAGTATCTCTTCACTTAGTCCAGCCAGCAGAGTTTACAAACCTTGAAACTCTTAAAGTGGATCCTCCCACAAAGTTCTCATTAATTTTACATTTAGTATCTCTTCACTTAGTCCAGCCAGCTGATTTTACAAACCTAGAAACTGTTAAAGTGGATCCTCCCCCGAGGTTCTCATTCATTTTACACTTAGTAGCTCTTCACTTAGTCCAGCCAGCTGATTTTACAAACCTAGAAACTGTTAAAGTGGATTCTCCCCCGAGGTTCTCATTCATTTTACATTTAGTATCTCTTCACTTAGTCCAGCCAGCTGATTTCACAAACCTAGAAACTGTTAAAGTGGATCCTCCCCCAAGGTTCTCATTAATTTTACATTTAGTATCTCTTCACTTAGTCCAGCCAGCTGATTTTACAAACCTAGAAACTGTTAAAGTGGATCCTCCCCCGAGGTTCTCATTAATTTTACATTTAGTATCTCTTCACTTAGTCCAGCCAGCTGATTTTACAAACCTAGAAACTGTTAAAGTGGATCCTCCCCCGAGGTTCTCATTAATTTTACATTTAGTATCTCTTCACTTAGTCCAGCCAGCTGATTTCACAAACCTAGAAACTGTTAAAGTGGATCCTCCCCCGAAGTTCTCATTAATTTTACATTTAGTATCTCTTCAATTAGTCCAGCCAGCTGATTTCACAAACCTAGAAACTGTTAAAGTGGATCCTCCGCCGAAGTTCTCATTAATTTTACATTTAGTATTTCTTCACTTTGTCCAGCCAGCTGATTTCACAAACCTGGAAACTGTACAAATGGATCCTCCCCCAAGGTTCTCATTCATTTTACATTTAGTATCTCTTCACTTAGTCCAGCCAGCAGAGTTTACAAACCTTGAAACTCTTAAAGTGGATCCTCCCCCAAGGTTCTCATTCATTTTACATTTAGTATCTCTTCACTTAGTCCAACCAGCAGATTTACAAACCTTGAAACTGTTAAAGTGGATCCTCCCCCGAAGTTCTCATTAATTTTACATTTAGTATCTCTTCACTTAGTCCAGCCAGCTGATTTCACAAACCTGGAAACTGTACAAGTGGATCCTCCCCCGAGGTTCCCATTATTTTACATTTAGTATCTTTACTTAGTCCAGCCAGCTGATTTTACAAACCTAGAAACTGTTAAAGTGGATCCTCCCCCAAAGTTCTCATTACTTTTACATTTAGTATCTCTTCACTTAGTCCAGCCAGCTGATTTCACAAACCTGGAAACTGTTTAAATGGCTCCTCCCCCGAGGTTCTCATTAATTTTACATTTAGTATCTCTTCACTTAGTCCAGCCAGCTGATTTCACAAACCTAGAAACTGTTAAAATGGATCCTCCCCCGAGGTTCTCATTAATTTTACATTTAGTATCGCTTCACTTAGTCCAGCCAGCTGATTTCACAAACCTAGAAACTGTTAAAGTGGATCCTCCCCCGAAGTACTCATTAATTTTACATTTAGTATCTCTTCACTTAGTCCAGCCAGCTGATTTCACAAACCTAGAAACTGTTAAAGTGGATCCTCCCCCGAGGTTCTCATTCATTTTACATTTAGTATCTCTTCACTTAGTCCAGCCAGCTGATTTCTCAAACCTAGAAACTGTTAAAGTGGATCCTCCCTCGAGGTTCTCATTAATTTTACATTTAGTATTTCTTCACTTAGTCCAGCCAGCTGATTTCTCAAACCTGGACACTGTTAAAATGGATTCTCTCCCGAGGATTTTAATTTTACAGGTGTTTTCCATTTGCTGTTAGTAGAAAGAAATTCTTGGGGTCAGGCAGAAACACAGTGAAATGCAGCAAAGGCAGTGGCACAGTAAGCGCAGGGTGGTATTTAATAATAATGTTGGAGGGAATAGATTAAATGTTTGCAAGGATTAAAACCAAGTGGACAGAGGTGGCAAGTGGTGTCCCTCAGGGGTCTGTTCTGGGACCCCTTCTATTTAACATCTTTATAAATGATCTTGAAGACAGCATTGAAAGTCATGTTTCAGTGTTTGCAGATGACACAAAACTTTGTAAAAAAATACAATGTGAGCAAGATATTACTTTGCTGCAGAGGGATTTAGATAGACTGGGGGACTGGGCACTCAAATGGCAGATGAAATTTAATGTTGAAATATGCAGTTATGCACTTCGGCGTAACGAATACACAAGTAGTGATGCACAGAACGGTTCGCTGGCGACTAACTGCTATTCACTGTAATAACTGCTATTCACTGTAATAGATTGAATAGCAGTTAGTTGTCTGCCAGCTTCTGTGTCAGGCTCACAGTGGATACTGTGCCCAGTGCCACCACTCACTCACTGGTGTCACAATAGCTTGCATTTAAAAACAAAAATCTTTTTTCACTGTTATAGATTGAATAGCAGTTAGTTGTCTCCAAGCGTCTGTGTGTCAGGCTCGCAGCGTATACTGTGCCCACTTGCCCAGTGCCACCACTCACTCGCTGGTGTCACAATAGCGTGCATTTAAAAACCAAAAAACTTTTTTCACTGTTATAGATTGAATAGCAGTTAGTTGTCTCAAAGCGGGTGTGTCAGCCCTACAGCGTGTACTCTGCCAGTTCACAGTGCCGCTCTTATCTGGTGTCACAATAGCGTGCATTTAAAAACCAAAAAACTTTTTTCACTGTTATAGATTGAATAGCAGTTAGTTGTCTCCAGCCCGGTCAGCCTACGGCGTGTACTCTGCCAGTTCACAGTGCCACTCATATCTGGTGTCGCATGGCTTGCATTTAAAAAACAAAAACTTTTTCACTGTTATAGATTGAATAGCAGTTGGTTATTCAGCGGGTGTGTCAGGCTCACAGTGGATACTGT